TCTGGAGACTAGCAAGCATGGTGGTACACACCAGTAAACCTAGGCTGGAAGAAGGATCACAAGTTCTAGGACAGCCTGGGCTACATAGCAAGACCCTGTTAGAGAGAGAGAGAGAGAGAGAAAGAGAGAGACTCCTGGAGACTTGCTTATCTCCTCTGTAGAAACTAGGGCATATCCCTGCACAGCAGTGGGTGTCTGACAGCAGAAAAAAAGGAAGTTTTTCCATCTCAGCCTGGTGCTCTGTCCACTAGTTGCCCAGGAGCTGCCCAGCCAGTTCATTAATCGTGTCAATAGTTGCATTGTCTAGGCCTCTCCCTAGAAGTCAGTGACATTTCAAAGGCACTCAGTATGCATGAGTTCCATGTCTCTTGGTTTCTGTGTGTCTCACCCCCAGCTACCTCTACAACCCCACATCCCAGCATCCTGGTGTGACTCCACGTCATTCCATCTCAAGGTAATTTGCTTTGGAAAGCTACTGACTGCAAGATGTTTCCTAAGATGCTGTTTCTAAGGAAAAGGCAGAAAGAAAACTCAGAGCCCTTGACAAGTCTCCTCCATGGTGTGTGTGGAGGGGTCCTCTTACTCTTCCCTTGTCTAGCCATATTTCTTCCCAAGAAAAGCCTTGCCCACAGCAAACACTTGGAAGTTGTGTCTGTACTTCTTAACAAAGTCCTAGGATTTTCACCGGTCAGAACTTCCTGCCCACCGCCCACCCTGGCCAGTAGTGATAGCAGTACAACATTCAGTTCAGTGGATACCGTTTTTTTTTTTTTTTTTGGTAGGGTGGCAACAGCAAAATCACTGGCTTTAGGGCATAAGCAAGCCCCTGCTGTCACTTTCTTCATCTCTCCGGTCTGTGATGCACCTGATAGACACAGCCTGGTCTTAGGGTCCAGCAACTCTGGCAGTGGCAGTAGAAGCTATTCTTTCTTCTTGATTTATACAAGCATCCCAGAATCCTTAAAAGAGACCAAGCTAGCCCAAGTCCAGGATTCACTAAGTGTGGGAGCAAATGACATTATCTCCTGGGCATTTCAATTCTTCTAAACAGTTTATTTTCCTTTTATGGATAGTGTTTTTTGAAGAATAAATGAGTTACTATAAAAAATGCTCCCAGAATTGTCCCCCTCCAAACCTTCAGTCTAGATCAAATACCAGCTCTTCTTTTGCCCCAGGCTGAAAACAGTCTACCTTTAAACTCCTTCCTAATGCCTTCTTTTCTCTGCAAGATAGACTGCTGTCCACCTCTTATCCTAAGTAATTATGCAAAATCTCTTCTCTAAGGCCAGACAGGAAGGATAACTTATGCCCCTCCACGTACTTAGTTCTTGCTAAATATTATTCTTGAATGAATGAATAAGTGAATGAGTGGAATAAATGAATAAATGAATGTGCCTGTTCTAAGACATTTTCTCTGCCAGGAAAATGGCATGAATGACATAGAACGCTATTGTCATTCAACAAACATGCAAAGTGTTTTCTTCATTACAAGTTCTCAGAGTACTCTATTTTTTCAGGAAGGCAGATAAAGAGATTGAAAGAATAAGTAATTGCCCAGAACTTCTGCAACTTTTACTTTCTAGAAAATTCCTTGGCTCCAGCTCTCTTCAAAAGCAAATATACTTTGCTTTGGAGCTGACTCTTAAACTATTTCTGCCTTCCTGTGGAAAAGTTTGCTTCTTCTGTAACTTTCCATATGGACCGTCACAATAGAAGCCGAACCTCAGCTTTTTGTAATTTTTTTTTAAACATTTACAGAGCATACATTAACTTCATGGCTGACAGAACGGAGAAATGTGGGGCAGATTTCCAGTTGGGAATTTAACAGGACCAGTGGGCATGTCTTCGTTTACACTCAAGTATCTGGAGAATTGTATTTTCTACCTTGCTCTTACACATTTCAAACAAACTCATTTTAAAAATACACTAAAATGCATGTACAATAAATTTTACACATAGTTCAGTGCAATTATTTAAGGGGCATGTCAATAAAATTAGCACATGTGATTTTTAACTTGTATAACCAGAAATTCCCAGTGAGCCAGAAGAACATTGGGTTTTCTCTTCCACAAACACAGCTGTTGTTTTGAGAAAATAACATGATTAATCAAGGATTTTCAAGAACAACACTGTGTCAATAAAAAAATTAATTTAGGATTGGCTTATTCTGAAATGCACCTTTATTTGCAACATTAAAAATAACAAAGGAAACTGGACATGGCGTCACATGCCTGCAATCACAGCTAATGGGGTAGCAGAGACAGGAGGTTCTTGAGTTAGAGGCCAGCCTGGGCAAAGTTAGTAAGACCCCATTTCAAAAAAACAAAAATTACAAACAGAAGGGTCGGAGGCATGGGCTAAGTGATAGAGTGCTTGCCTGGCAAGCTTGAGGCCCTGGGTTCAAGCCCAATCCCAGCATGGGAGAGACAGAAAAAGAGAAAAGAGAAAGAGAGAGAGAGAGAGATTCTCCTTCCTCTCTTCCTAGGTCCCCAGCCCCACCCATATACCCATATAAAGTAAACGCTTTGAAGATGGGAGGTTTACTTAGTTCCTGAGTTGGAGGTGAGGCTGGGGTAACTAAGGGGAAGTGTCAGCTGTCCACATTCACATGCCTTTGTATGCAGAGGCACACATGGAAACCAGGAAGTGGTTCAGGGTATAGGGTGCCAACAAGGAGCCTCAAGGTAAGTTCATGGGTTGGTAGGAGGAAAGAAATTCCTCACAGAAGAGCAGGAAAGATTTAAGAAAGACCACATAAAAGAGGCAACGGGATCTAGCATTTCAAAAAAGAGAAAGAAGTCACCAGAGTTCTACAGGAGAGGCTGGACACACCAATGGCTAGAACTGGACATGAGGAATGATGTGATGCTGGAGACATGTTCCACAAATGCAGTGAAGACGATCTGAACCTGAGACTCAAGTGACAAAGTAGGAGGTGACATAAAGAAGGTTCAAATACCAACCATGAGAGCAAACCTGCCACTGCGACAAAGAGGAGATAGAGGTTCCCAGGGAATCCAACCACGGGTTCAGTGGTTTGGGGCTGGAATAGTACAGGTTGAACATCTTTTATTAGAAAATTCAAAATCTGAAATCTGAAACTTTTGGAGTACTGACATGACAAGTAAAGTCTATGCAAATACTCTAAAATCTGAAAAATTCACAAACCTGAAACACTTGTGGTCCCAAGCATTCTGATTAAGGGATCATCCACCTATATTTGAAATCAGGAGTACAAAGCCAGAACATGGTGATGCACACCTGTAATTCCAGCTACTCAAGAAGTAGAGGCAGAAGGGTCACAAATTCAAGGCCAGCACAGGCAAAGATAGCAAGACCCTATCTTAAAAGTAAAAATATAAAAAAAAAAAAAAAGGGAAAGATAAATACAACAAAATCAGGAAGGCAGCACCTGGGAGGAGCAAGAGTCTGGAGGAAATAACTGAGACAACCACCCAGAGGAAGGGAGAGGGGAAAGACCTGGCAGGAAGGTGGACAGTCACACAGGGCAGGAGGGATACCAGGATGATAGTACCTGTGAAGAGAGAGGCTATTTGATAAGAGAGAGTAAACAAAGACACTCCTTCCTCGGTTTTCTCAACAAAACAGGAGGCCAAGCTGCTGTAGAAAGTGCTGGGCTCTGCTCAGATGGCTGAAGCAGAATAGAGACTAACACACTTAGAGGCAAAAGATGATTGACGTTTTGCCAAATGCCAGAGGGAGCTCTGCTGACTGAATGGACCCATGGCAGAGGTCTGCGTCGCTCCCTAGGTGTTCTCTGTATCACGGGAGGAGTGAAGGAAGCAGAAGGTGTGGATGTGAGCTGGAAGGCCACCAGTCACACAGCCAGGGAACCCGGGATTCCACCAAGCACTTTGTATTGTGCGTTCTCAGAAAACACCAGATCAATAGTGCTACGTGTACAACTGGGTGGGGTAAGATTGCTTCCTTCTGGACGGTGCTCCCAGCTGTGTAACACAGAAAACATGTCTTCTAGGGTTGCTTTTCTATTTGCTCCTCTTCCTTGCTACTCAATCAGCACTCTATTCTTGGAACAGTTGTTCGACCTCCCTGCTGTCTTTAGTTAGCTCTCCTCTGACCTCAAATTACAGCCTTCTGCAAGGTCCCCATATATTCCTGATGACACTCTCCTTCAATGTCTGCATGCTTCTTTGTCCTTCCTGTTATAAACTGTGAACTCTGTGGTGGTGAGAACATTGTTCTCTGACTCTCTGATCATGGCACACTGGAACTCAAAATACACTGGTATCACTGAATGAAGACCTCCTACTTATCACTTGGCAGTTCAGAAAGATTCCTTATCTGAAGGCAGAAGGTAAAGGTTAGAGGATCTTAGAAGTGACCTAGTTCAGTCCCTTCATTTAGTAGCGAAAGAAGGTAAAGCCCTGAGAGGTTGATCTGCAGTCCTAGACATCGGCTGTTAGCTTGTTGTCTCTTTTACAGAGCCTACCAGTGTTGCATCTTTGTGGTCTGTGTCTATTTTGGCTTTAAGCCACTACCTTAGAATTTAACATAGCTCAATCAGAATGTAAACAAGATCCAGCAGGACCACTCAGAACTGGAGGTAGGAGTTCCCGAACTACAAGCTAGAAATGGTACCTATGGAGGGAAAATGACTCCAAGCCACAGGGAAGAAGCACCAACCAGGGAGTGAGCAAAGGGTGTGTAAATGAGTGGCCCCATCAGAAGGCAACACAAGTTTGGAAAACCACAGTCCCCACATAGTACTACACTGAAGGGTTTAAGATATTGCCATAGTGTGTAAAAATTGTTCTAAGAAGGCAGGGAGTGGGGAAGAAGAAGAATGATAGAGGGGGGTGAATCTAATTAAGATACATTGTAAGCACATATGTAAATATCATAATGAAACCCCTTATACAGCTAATATATACTAATAAAAATTGTTTTTTAAAAAAGGAGATCAAGAAAAAAAGACACTGCCCTAGATGTGAGTTTTATAAGAGCATGGGAATACCTATTTTTTCTGCAGTAATTTGTGTTACGTTAGCATTATTCTTCCAAAGTCACTACTCCTTCTACATATCATTTTGTGTACAGTTGTGTGTCACTTAACGATGGGATGCACTCTGAGAAATGTGTTATAAGTGGCTTTGTCATGTGTCGCCATGTGAACATCACAGAATATGCATAGGCAAACTTAGATGGTGTCGTTTATTATACACCAATGCCATATGGCACTCTCATTGCTCCCAGGATACAAACTTGTACAGCTATACTTGTCCTCTAAGCAATTATAACACAGTGTCAAGTGTTTTCGTAGATGAACACATCTAAACATTTAAAAACACAGTAAAAATACGAGGCAATAGAAAAATTTCAACTCTACTACAGTCTTCTGGCACCACAGTCATACAAGTGGCCCACTGTTTACAGAAATGTAATTACATAGCTCATGACCGTAATTCAGAAATTCTTATAAACCAGCAGCACAGTGAGAGCCATCGAGTTTTATTCTCAGTAGCCCTGATTCCATTTTCCCTAAAAAATAAACACACCATGTTGTTTGTTTTTAGACATCATTTTCCTACAAACTTTTGTTTAAGAAAAATGTCTCTGAAATGTGAACCATCCTGCACACTACAAATTATTTAAAACAGACTAAAATAAATATTTGAAGTTACATTTCTAAGTATTTGGTTAGCTGTGTTATTTTATTTGCTGTTTATTTTAGCTGGATCATGTTCTTATGGTTCTAAGAGTCCTTCAAAGTTTAAAAACAACATTGCTTGTGTACATTCTGGGCAGCTTGAAGAAAGGAAAAAGAATCTTCCTTTCTATTTTGAATTATTTTAGTGTCTTAGCCTGGACTGCTATAACTAGAATATCATAGACTTGTGGTTTAAACAACAAGAATTTATTGCTCACAGGTCTAGAGGCTAGTAAGGCCAAGTTCAATGCAATGACAGATTTGGTGTCTGGTGAGGTCTCTATCTTCTTTGCCAACAGCCATCTTCTTATTGTATCTCACATGGCAGAGAGAAGAGAGATCATCTGTTATGTCTCCTCCTATAAGGACCCTACTCCCATTCATGAGGACTCTGTCCTTGGGACTTCATCACTTCCAAAAGGTCCTGTCTCAGAGTGCCATCACACTGGGGACCTAGGCTTTTACAGATGATTTATCCACAGCATCTATTGACCCAAACGATAACGAATCCTGTTCCTAATCCACCCGTGGACCATTACTCCTGATAGGAACAAAATGTCACTGTCTCCAATTTTCGATCCCCAGACCCTCAGGATAGCTGCCTGGCTCTGACAGAGTGTGGAGGAGTCAAATAGAGGATGATAAGGGAGCTAGCACAGGTGGGGAGGGAATGCTTGGTCCTTTTTATTTGGCAGATATGAAAGTTTAAATGGGAAGACCCTTATGGACGACCTACTCAGCTGCTTTTCTTCATCAGATGGAGCAGATTGGAACCAGAAATGGGGCCTGGATCGAGATTCCAGTTAGTCCATTATGACTTATTAATATTAGGATAACAACCAGATTTATCTCCTCTAAATTCAACATTTTTCTCAATCCCATTCAATTACTCATTTAGTAACGTCCCATCTATGCTTTTTTCTTAAAGCTTAAGGAAAACAAATGATTGACCAGATGTCAAAGCTAACAAATTCTGCAAGTTCAGCCTAGCCCTGCTCTAAGCCTTTTATATAACTTGGGGAAAGTCACACAACTACACTCTGCCTCAGTTTCCCCATCTGAAAAGAGAGTTCCTCCTTTCCTCTGCATTTACTTTAAAGAGAGTTCTAGCCACAGCACAGGTGGACAATAGAAAACACTGCATGGTTTAGTCAAATGAGAAAAGGTCCTAAGAATAACATTGGGTGGGATCGAGACCCATAGACACAAATGTCTAGCTAAAGCAAAAAATGTAATGGTAAATACAGAGAGAGAGAGAGAGATCTACACCTACAGAAGAGGTAAAAGAAAAGGGATGCATGTCTAAAGTAAAAACATAACTTCTTAAAATAAAAGCTCTTCTTTGACACTTTTGATTCATTTTTTCTGGGTAGGAGAGCCAGTGATGGAATCTCACTAGAATATGCTTTTCTGCTGTTTGACAAGGTGGCAGCAGAAGCAGTGGTCACTAGTTTTGCCTAATAATATCATCCTCTCCACAGTGTAAGGCCACACCTGGAACAACAGACCACTGCTCCAGGCGCGCCCCAGTGGACTGGGCCTCTTGGCTGCAGGGCTGTCTGCCCAGCTGGGATTTATGTAACAGGAAGGTCCCAAGAGCCTGGCCAGGCCTGGCACTGGCTCTCCCTGGGGCAGGTTCCTCCTTCGTCTGGGCTCTAAACTATGGACACATCTGTTAGCAATATGCGCCCGTCATCTTTGCACTTCTGGCATGAAATCAGGCAGCTGACTTTGGAAAGACAGGAGTCAGACAAAGAGCACAGCTGACGGGTTATGGTCTGGCAGGTTCATGGAGCAGAGAAAGATGGAGTTGGAGAGGGGACTATGTGGTCACCCAGCCCTAACTGGCTCCTGAAGTTGCTGGGTCTGACAGAACATACAGAGGTCAGAGGTCATTTTACTGCTCAAATGGTTCCCATGGGAAGGTAAATACGACAAACAATTTTCTCAGCACGGATTTCTCTCCAAGTGCTAAGCCTGCTGTCTATTTCCTTGCAGAGGCTGCCCTGGCATCGTGCCCAAGGCAAGCAGCCTCGTGTGAGGACAGCACAAAAGCCTTTCCCCCTGGCGCACATCAAAACACTCTAGATCCCTGACCACATCCTTCCTCTCTCTTCTTCGATCCACTGCCTCCTGCGTGCATAAGCTTCCAACCCGGCTCCTCCCGCATGGCCCTGAGGACACTGAGCAGAGCAAAGAGCAGGAACTAAGGAGGGTGAGAAGGCAGAGTTCCATCACTTCCACTTCCTTGGGGTAAGTGGCCCTGCTTGACAGAGAGGGTTCAGAAGGAAGATCGAACTCATCGTCTTTTCCTTAGTCCGTCAGGTTTATTCAGGTTCTGGAATCAAGGTCCCTGGTTCACTCTATTTCCTGACTTTTGCCCATCTGGGATGTGGGAAGACTTTCTAGATTTTTACAGCACGTACACTCTTCCTGCTGAGAATGTGAGGGTGGAGTCTTCCTATAGAGGATGGACTAAGCTCTTGCCTCCCAGGTCATCCCTGTGAATGCACAATTTATCATTTCCTGGAGGAACAAAGGCAAAACAGGTGTGGGATTTAGGGCAAAGGCTGATGAACTCCAAGTAAAACATTTGTCATCTGCACTAAGGCCAGTAAAAACCATCCACATGGTGCTGTCTTGTTTATTAAAAAAAAAAACATTTCGTTTATTGGAATCAATTAGAGAATATCCATTAATCAAGTGGTCTAAAAATGTCCCTTAGAAACTCATAAGTACCTGGGATGCAGATTTTTCTTTTCCTTTTTTGGTGGTACTGGGATTGAACTCAGGACCTCCTGCTTGCTTGGCAGATGTGCTATCACTTAAACCACTCCCCCAGCACTTTTTGCTTTAGGTTATCTTTCAGATAGGGTTTCATGCTTTTGCATGAGCTGCGATCCTACTACCTCTGCCTTCCCCATTGCTGGGACCACAGACATGCAACACCACCACACCTGGCTTGTTTTCAAGGTAGAGTCTTGCTAATGTTCTTACCTGGGCTGGCTTAGAACCACAGTCCTATCTCTGCCTCCTACATAACTGGATTATAGATATGCTCCACCACGCCTGGCCCAGATTTTTCTATTTTTTCAATTAATATCTTTCCATGAAAACTGATTATTAAGGGCAAGATTCCACAGCAGGAAATCCTCTCCTAAGAAAAGACCTAGTTACTTCCAATGATCTAAGTTATGTGCTGTTTGTATGACTTTGTGGCCTGGTCTCCAAGGGAGGGGTCTTGCAGGAAGAGGTTGGCTGCACATCTGGAGAATGCAGTAGTCCTATAAGGAGAGAGTCCTAAGTATAAATATAAGGTAAAGGCACAGCATACAAACTTGGCCATTGCTACAGAGAAAACAAATTTGACAGCAACTTTTCTTCACCAGGAAGGCTTACTTTATGGTAGGCTATGCAATGGTCAAGTCAGATGGTACAAGATGTAAATTTTCTGGCTTTTAACTATGACCTTTCTCCCCTTGATGCTATCATTTTTCTCCACTGTAGATGGGAGGCTGGAGAAGAGAGGAAGAGGAAGAAGAAGGAAATAATATTTTCACTCAAGCTTTCTGCCCCTACCCCTTGTTTAAGCAGACATCAGACCTCCTCTCCATCAGAGGCAGGCTATGGAGTGCAGCTTATCGTAAGAGCGGAGGCAAGTGCAAGCAACAAGCAGAGCTGAGTGCACCATGGTGTCCCCAAAGTCACTTCCCTTTCATGCACTCTCATCATTGAGGCTGCCAGTTTCAGATCTCTTGTACATTTGCAGTGTTGTCTCTGTATCAAACGGGTGAGAGGCCAAATAATCTTTATACACCCCGTCGATCAGTTTGGCTGCATTGTTCCTGGCAAACCAGCAGTCTATTTGTTCTTCTCCATTGTAAATCTTCCTTTGTTTCCAGACCACTGGGACTCGGTGACCTTTCACCTCAAGGACAGTCTCATATGACCCTTCTGCCTGAGGGAGTAGAGCATTAGTAAGATTCTTGCTGTACTCTGCAGGCTCCTCTGTGAGTTTAGCATCCTTGTTCAAGAACTGACCTGGGAGGACAAAATCAGGCATCAGTATAAGTTAAATGGAGACAAAAAGTGCAATCTAAGCTGTGTACAGTGGCTCAAGCTTATAATCCTAGCTTCTTGGGAGGCAGAGATTGGAGGACCAAAGTTTGAGGCCAGCCCAGGCAAAAAGTTCATGAGAAGAGACCATCTTCTCAACCAATGGCTGGGCATGACAACATGCTTGTATCCTAGCTATACCGAAGTACAAATAGGAAGGTTGTAGTCCAGTCTGCCTGGGCACAAAGTGAGACCCTATCTCAAAATAACCAACAAATGCAGAAAGGGTTTGACGAGTGACTCAAGCGTTAGAGCACCTGCCTAGTAAGCATGAGGCCCTGAGTTCAACCTCTAGTACCACCACCAAAAAACGTGCAATCTAATACCAGTGGTGGGAGGTTTTTCATTGACCACAGTCCTAAGTGGGACTGTCTCACAGATCATCCAGCCCAGTGATGGCGCGTGTTCTGGAGCATATGGAGAGGAGAAAGCTGAGCTTCTACTCACAGTGGCCTGCCACTTCTGGAAGCTGCCCAGTCATTAACGCTGGGAAGTGACCTAACCAACAAAAGGAGGCACGCACACTGTCCTACTGAATCAGGAGGAGATACAAAGAGCATGGGGTCAGTTTTCCCTCCTCCCTGCCTGTTTAGGGCCCCCATGTGATGGGTAGGCACCAGGGTGGGGTGTGGGAAAGCATTCAGCTCAGTTCATTCCTGAAACTCAGCCTCAGACTCTCCAGGTCAAGTGAGGATATTGCTCAGGTCAAGGGAACACAGATCTGCATCTGTGAGCTGGAGTTCATGCTTGGCAGCCAGGCGGGACAAAACGCACCCATGTTAAGTGCCAGGAAATCCTGCTTTCTAAACAGAGCCCTGGCAATGGCTTGCTCTTTATTCTTGGACAAGGAGCCCACATGAAATTGCACATTGAAGAAAGTCGGTCAGAGTGACCTGCCTGTTGCTCACAACATGCAGATGTCTCCTAGGAAAGGAATCCAACTTGTGCTGGGTGCTGGGATGGGCAGCCCTGTGTCTGTGTCTTTCTGCACAGAGACAAGAAACCAGACAGAACTAAGGATGATCACTCTCCATGACTTCGTTTGCATCCCTGGAAAAGTAGAGAACTGGTGTTTTTAAGGCCTCTTTTATTCCAGAAAGTCATCAGGAGGCAAGAAATGTAGCTTTCATGTATATTCAGTCAACCCTCTGTATCCATGGATTGTACATCTGTGGGTTCAGTCACCCATGGACGGAAAATGTTTTGGGGACAAATGCATCTGTACCGATCATATACAGACTCTTTTCCTTGATCTTATTCCCTAAACAATATAGTATAACAACTATTTACATATTACTGGCATTGTATTAATATGGTAAGCATTCCAGAGAGGACTTGAAGAATATAGAGGATATGTTAGGTTTTATGCAAAGACTACACCGTTTTGTATAAGAGACATGAGTATCCTTGGATTTTGGTGTCCTTGAAGGATCCTGGAACCATATCTCCAGCAGATACTAAGAGACCATGGCTATATGAGGACCACATTCTTACTGAACTTCTCAATCAAGCTAGTGATACTAGAGTATGGGCTTCACTTCGGGAAATGTAATTCTGTTCTCTAAACCCAACGTGAGGAGGGTGAGCTGCCTACCTAACAATCCATGGCAATTGCTGGAGAGGCCTTTGCTGTTGGAGATATAGAAGCCCAGATGGTTTCGCTGGAAGGGTGCCGGCCTTTTGTAGAGGTGAATGAGGATGACAAAGGCAATGGTGCCCTGGATGGTAACAGTGACGCTGGCATTGGCAGACACTGATACCTCCAGTCCCCGGCTCCCCACCACCACACTCTGGTTGCAGGGGAGGACGAGCCTGTCTCCACCATCTAAGATGACCCTGTTGGGTGTGATCTCCAGATAAGATCGCTCTGGCTTGTTGATGAGGATGGTGATGGTGCGGAAGTAAGTACGCTGCTTCTTGTGACCATTTGGAGGAGCGGGGGCCCCAATCAATTCTCCATTCACGGTCACACCTAGAAGGCCAGGGAGAAGAGGATCGTGGTTAGAAAAACTGTCCCCTTTCCTGCTAGCTTTGAAGATTTGAACATGAAGTTTCCCTAACCCCCAATGCTAATGTTTTGGAAGGTTCTGGAACTTCAGGGGGCAGAGCTAGTTGGAGGAAGTAGGTCCTCAGAGACACCTTATCCCAGGACTTCCTATCTGTTTCTCTCTGCTTCCTGTCTGCCATGAGGGGAGTAGCCTTTGCCACATATTCCTGCCACCATGATGTTCTGCCTTACTACAGGGGCCCAGACTCAATGGACACAAGGATTTTGCACTGAAAACTTAAAACCGTGAGCCAAATAAACCCTTTCTCCCTTAAGTTGTTTATGTTAGGTATCTGTCACAGTGACAAAAAGTCTGACTTACACAGCATCTAATCAGAATTTTCTTCCACTTTCCTTGTCTTTGTACTCTAGGACAGAACATTATCTGACACCACACAGGCCACTCAGCGCTTCCTGAGTGAGTGAGTGAATGTGGGAAGCCATGAGTGCATTTCTTTCCTGTGTTTGACCAGTGTCTTGGAATATGGGATGGAGGTTATAGGTTGGGCCAAGACATAGAAGTTAACCTGTTCCTGTGCTTTCATTCCAGTGTGTGGCTGTAGTAATAAAAGGTCTTGTGTGGCCCCTACATGTATTTTGGGTCTACCAGTTGCCACCAATCCTAACTTGGAGCTCCTTCAATGCCATTGAGCAGTGTGGGAGAGTGCAAAGTTAGAATATTTTGTAGTCCAAAAACTCAAGTTCTTCCACCTCATAGGAGCTCATCTTTTGACAGGGCATTATTAAATAATAATCCTCATCTTGTAAAATGGGAAGGGAGATGTAAAGCCTAAGAGAATTTTTGTGAGGATCACAGGGGGAACACATTGTAAGTTGTTCACTGCCATCACACAGAATTCCTTTCTTTTTGCCTGCAACATTACGAATGCATCTACATCTTGTCTGGACTTGAACAAGGCCTGAGAGTCTGTCCTCAGGGTTCCATGCTGCAGGCTGAACAGCAAACAGATGCAAGTAAAACACGTGAATGAATTTGGCTTGCACATTCCATGTGTTTTGCTCTCAGGTGAAGAGGCAATTTTGCTAACAAAAGATTCCTATAAATTAACTTTTTTTCTATGCTTTGGGGATAATCTTCCCAATAAATCTTGACTGCTAACTTCTTAGATATTCAAAGAGAAAGGTGTCTTCTCTGGGGCAGGGAGGGAGGGAAAGAGGAGAAATCTCATCCTGAGCAGAGCTCTTTGGACCAGAGGCTCTGAGTATCTTTGCATTGAGCTCCCCTCTTAGATACCTTGCAGAATACAGAGACCACTGAACAGCTCCCAGGAGAGCGAGGGAGGTGTACAGTTAGGTCTCTATCTCATTTTGAAATTAAAACACTCGAGCTTTGACTCAGGCTAAAAGGCCTGCAATAGAACAATAGGAAAAAGGACATCCAGGAGGCTTTACATAAGTATATCATACATGTCACCTGGTTAGGGGACCCTCTGCAACCTGCCCTCCCAAGACACTCATTTCTCAGCATCAAGAAATAACAGAAGATCCACTTCAAAGCCCATCACAAAGCTGGGCTGTGTGGCTGTCCACAGGACTGTCCCAAGCAGTGTTACCTGCATTAGATTCAGAGTCTTTTCTGTGCTAATCTCTTTTACACACTCCCTCTATAGATCAATAGGGACCAGACTTCTTCATACACGTGTTCATGGCACAAAGAGCTGCATGGTTAATGTTTGGGCTTTCCATCAAAGTCACCAAGAAGCTGAGATATATAAATTTAGGGCTGTGGTATCCCCATTGTCATAGCTTCTGGATGGAGAGATACAGGACAATAATGTTGAGTTATAACTCTACTTCATATCCATTTTTTACTTTAATCTACTTGATATAGCCTCATAATGCCAGCAGGGTGTCACGCTCTTTACTACCTCCATCTCATAAGAGGGACACACACACCCAAGGCCACACTTAGGTCTGAATGTGTGTCTGTCCGACTCCAAGTCCAGGATCCCATTCACTTCCTCTCATTGATCATTACCATTAATCTTTACTGAGCACCCAGGACACAGCCCTTATGTAACTGACTATTCATTTTCAGAACAGAGGATATAACAGATATAACTCCTCCCTGGCCCTTGCCCAGATGCCACAGGGAGGGTCAAAGTTACCTGAGTCCATGTGATCAGAGACTAGCCGTAGGATGTCCCCAGGCTCTCCATCAATGTTAAAGCAGACAGTGAGTTTGCTCAAGGGGAAATCCACAACAAAATGGGGATCACCGTCCACTACCAGGAATGGGGGGAAAGGAGAGGAAAAAGACAGACATTAGTTGGCTGCCTTCCATGTGTAAGTGCTACTCTATATTTTCTCATGGATTTTTAAATTTAAATCTCAGCAACAATACTGGAAGAATAATATCCTAAGTTTCTAAATAAGGAAGATCTCTGGAAGTGACGTGACTCCCCAAAGTTACCTAGTTGTACATGGCAAAGTAAATACTGGCTTCAGGTCTCCTAAATTGAAATTCAGTTCTCCTAAACTGAAATATCACATTCCTTTCATTATACCTCAGTTGAACGTAGACAACGAAGTTGGAGAGATGTCAACGCACACCCTCAGACTGCTGCCGCTCAGCATCGCCTTCAGTTTCCTAGGTGGAGTTTCCCCATATCATTTGCTTTGTCCCTCAAGTGGCCCTATGAAGAGTGAGGCCTCCTGCTTGTCTATGACAAGAGTGCTACAGAACTTTTCTCCCAGGAAGCCATAGACAGTTTCACAAGCATTCACAGTGCCAGCTGTATGCAATTCCGGCAGGCAGGCACTAACAGCCATGCCCAGTTTAGGGGCAGTGACAGGGGGACAAAAAAGTCACTAGAAGGTTAAGCAGTAGTGTCAATAATGGCAGTAGACATCACTACTTTGGGTCATCCTGTCTTTATTGCTCTCCAATTTTCATTCACACATGACAGCAAGAAGATCACTTGACCCCTGACCCTCATCTCCTCTCTCCTTCCTCACCTCTGCTAAAGATGGATGGCTTTGCCTCTTACTGTACAGACCAAATACTTCCCAAGAGTCTACTTTAGTTTTCTTTCTTACTGGATGGGAGATGTGATTTGTATCTATATTATACACCAAACATAAGTACCAGAATACCTCTGCTTTCTGTGTACATGTACATGCATGAGTGTGTGTCTGTGTGTGGTAGAGGCATGGGTCAGGAAGAACCCAGTCTTTTCAAGCTACATGCAAGGTCATGTACTCCTGGTAACTGCTGAAACCACTTTCTACCCCTGGCATCTCTTGTAAGAGCTCTTCAGAGAATCTAGCTGCTCTCACTGTGAAGTGCCTCGAGGCCCCTGTAAAGGGTAACATATAAAGAAATACAAAGAATTTGTCTTGATGATGGGGAAAAAAACACCCAGGGGAACAAAGGTTCTCATTCCTATTCTTGGCACTCTTTCAGCATGAATATAGCTTATCTGACAGCTCACTAAGAGTTTCTGTGTATACTAACCACATCCCTTTTTTCTCAAAGCATCCAAATCCCTTTACAAGGGAAGATGTTTCTTGTTCCAAAAATGTGGGGAGGAATCCAAAAGTCATCACTGCAGGCAGCATTCCATAAAGTGCATGTGTTTAAAGGAACCGCATCTAACCACAGGACACTGTGCATTTCTATCCCCATGGCTAATCTCCAGGATGTCCCTGGCTTTCTGAACTTGCACGTACAGTACGTCAGCAGAACAGCAATAATAAAGGCTTAGAGGGGAAGACGTGGACATTAGAGAAATAAAACCCAGCCCCTATGACGTTCTTCCATTTAGATTTTTATTATAATTCCAAAAATTGGCCAAAAGGAAATCTTAAGACATTTGTAGTCTGTTTTAAAGGCTCTTCTAAAGTCGAGGATTCAAAAACAACACAAGCAAAAATTCCTGCCTGTCAATCCCGACAATTTTGTTTTATAATGTTGTTTTTATGCTTTTGACAGTAGGGGCTGGAGGTATGCACGCTTCAGATGTCTACAACTAAGCTCTCTTAAACTCAGTAATGTTCAGAATGTGTTTCTGCTGTCCATCTCTTCTATCGTGGCTCTTGCCAGGCCTCTTCAAGACTGTTATCTCCACAGTGTTTATGCAATGACTTAGTTCTGGTCCTGGTTCTCAGCACACACCTCACACTGAAGACTTGGGCTAAATAAATCTGGTTGTGATGCCTTGTTCTAGGAGCTGCTATGTGAATTGGCTCCACGGAATTTCTGGTCGTCCCTTCCCAAACACCCCTTTCTCTCCATTCGAATGCAACCAAATCCTCCTTTTCCTTACCTGATGTTTTAGAGATTTTAACTCTTGGGTTGTATGGCTTCTTGATTGCAGGTTCTAAAAAGGAGAAGGAAGAGAACACTGAGGTTATTTATCGCAGAAGATGCAGTGAGAGGTACGAAGAGAAGTGGGTTGAGAAGACTGATATACAGCTGTTTTCAGAGATTTGCAATCAAAGAGTCAAAAATCTCTTCCAAATACCATCAGTCTTAAGAGGGTGCTTGCCTCATAAGACACAGGGAGGGGTAAAATGTGCAGTACTGATTCTCTTTTCTTTTATCAATTAGGTAATAGTTTTTCTCTTCTGTGATCTCTGTGGATATAAGGGGAATTTTTCTACCACACTTAAGATACAGTTTTGGGGGAAGCAGAATAGAGACATTTTTAATGGATACAGAGTTTTAGTTTCACAAGATGAAAAACTCCTGGAGATCTGTTTCACAACAATATGAATATACTAAAAACTACTGAACTGTACACTTAAAAATGGTTAAGCTGGAGCCAGGCATGATGGTACACACCTGAAACCCCAGCTACTGGGGAAGCAGAGGCAGATAGATAGTGAGTTGGAGGCCAGCCTGGACAAAAAAGGTAGCAAAACCTGTCTCAAAAACAGAAAAAGCCAGGCACAGTGGCACAAGCCTGTAATCCAAGTTACTCGATAGGCAGAGATTGAAAGGACTGCAATTCAGGGCCAGCCCAGACAATAAGTTTGTGAGACCCCCATCTCAATCAATAAAAACTGGACATGGTGGCACACATCTGTCATCCCAGCTACACAGGAAGCACAATAGGAACATCAAAGTCCAGGCCAGCACTGGCATAAATGAAAGACCCTATTCAAAGACTATGTAAAGCAAAATGGTAGAACACCTGCCTAGCAAGCACAAGGCCCTCAGTTCAAATCCCAGTACCACCATAAATGGGATGGATGGTATAGCTCAAGAGATAGGATGCTTGCCTGTCATGCAAGAGGCCCTGGGTTCAATTTCCAGTACTGCCAAAAAGAAGGAAGGGGAGAAGGAGAAAAAGAAAAAGAGAGAAAAGAAACAAGAAAGAGAGAGAGGGAGAAAAAAAGGAAAAACCAGTCAAGGTGGTAAATTTTATATTATGTGTTTTTATCACAATAAAACAAAAAATATGGTTATAGTCTAGTGTCCGTAACTATGCTTGTAAGCTTAATTCATAAGGCACTGTGAAACACTACATACTCAAAGTAAACCTTGAATAAGAATTCAATTAAAGAGCAACCTAAAAGTAAATTAATTTCTGTAAATAAAATCAGAACCTTATTTCAAATTGTGTGTTAGCAAAATTATACTCCTCCTCATTGGTTTTGTCCCTTGTAAAATTGAAGATCAAAATATCTAAATATTTTTTGAAGAAGCTCCTGCTCCATTCTGTCTCTAGCTAGCATGACATGGCAGAATTCAGAAGAACCAGGAGGGAGGTGACATATTTTGATTGGATGATTGCTTTTAGGAGTGGCAATTGCCACACACATTAAAAAAAATAAAAGTAAAAAATACATATAAAGATTACAATGAAAACATTATCAGAGCTTGAAGAAAAGGAAGAATCTTAAGTAATCACTAACAACTCCAGAAAATCTTATTTCAGAAAGATCCTTTGACATGCGGCTCTGCTTTGGATAAACTGTTTTCCTTTCTCCTGTTCCTCTCCCTACAAACTCTTCCTTGTCAAGCAGCACCAAGACAGGGCGACAGCTTCTGTTTAGATTCTGGGCAGCAGGAATATAAAGGTTGAATTCTCTGAAGAGTCTCTGAGTCCCAAGTTTGGTTAGTTACACACCTCAAAACAATAAAATTAATCACATGCATACAGTGACATAATTCTGAAGAACTTAAAAATATAGAAAGGCCCATTTGTGTCTATTTGTTTATCTCGGTGCCTCCCACCATGCCTGGCGTGTGGCAGAGCTCAGTTTATGGATGGACTGGCTTCACTGGGCCATGTGCCTTTTTTCTCATTGCTTTTGAGAGTCACAGTTTATAACAAAACAAGTACAGCCACCTAAGATACCCCCTGAGGACAAAGTGCTGTATTAGGGTCCTTGTTTATAAAAATTATAATGCAATAAAATGAAACAGACTCCTGCTGCGATCACCATGCCCTTACAAGGAGTGAGAAGGGACACTGAGGCCCATGTTCCTCACGTCTGGCTGCCCCGGGAGCTGCACTACCTGGCTGCATGTCAGCTCCTCGCAGGCTCTGCATCACTGTCTGGGGTCCTGTCACTGCAGACATGCCATGGTCCTCCTCCAGTCTGTCTGTGTGAAGTGCTGGCTTCTTCAGCTTCAAAGCAGTGAAGGGAGTGAGGAAGCGGTAGCTCAGGGCCAGAGCCTGGGCCTTCTGCCTCAGTTTCTCCTTCTCCTGTTTGTCATTGCTCTGCAGCCAGGAGCTCAGCAGCTCCTTCACAGTGAGGTAGCTCCAGAGACGCTCAATGTGGTTGGGATCCTCTTCACCATCACTGATGGGCCTGGGGCCTCCGGGGACTTCATTCTCTACTTTCTGGGGCTCCATGGGCACGTCCCTCTTCAGGATAAGGAATTTCTTACTGTTGCTGGCAGTGACCTCCACATGCAACTTATCCAACTTCTTGTCTACCAGCTTCCCAGCAATGACAATCTCAGACCCATTGAAGTAGTTGGGGAACAGGGTTTTGGTGGCGTGTTCCACTAAGCCCGGGGGATAGTCAATACGGATGTCGGAAAGCAGAGGGGTCCGTATCTCATCGTAGAACCTACAGAGGAAGAACAGAGGACGAATGAGGCCTGGCCAGCTGCGGGCAGGACAATAGTGAAGGAAATGTCACTATCACAGGGTGGCTCTGACCCTGACACTCTCACAGGAGTGATCAACTCCAACAGTGCGCCCAGAAGTACATTTTGATATTTCACCAATAACTCAAACCCCTCTGGGGAGAGCCCTCACCTTCCCTGAAGGCTCCTGGGCCTCTTTTCAACTGCTCTTAATGACAGGAAGATCTCTGTAGAACAAAGCAGATTGCCCGTGATATTTCCATCCAACAGTCTCAGTTTTGCCTCTGGAGTGATGCAGAATTAGTCTACGCCAGCCTCATAATGTCAGCCACTCAGGTGCTTAACAAACACACCTGTGTGTTCTTCCACACCTTCTTGTGCTGCCTAACCAGCCCGTTTCATCAACTATTCTTGTTGAATAACTTCCAGATTCTCCCACCACTCTTGGTAAAGTTCCATTGTACCCACCCAAATTTCTCAAAAGGCCACTTAAATTTTCTTTCTTAAAATCAAATATAAGGACTGGACATCATGGGAAGTGCCTGTAATCCCACTGACATGGGAAATACGGGTGGAAGGACAGCAGTCCAAGGCCAGCTGTGGGCAGAAGATAAATAACCTAAAGGAAAAAGGGCTGGGGGCATGACCTAAGTGTTAGAGCACCTGCTTAACAAGCCCAAGGCCCTGAGTTCAAACATCAGTTCTGCCCCCAAAAGTCAAATATATCTTACAGAAGCACTGTAAGCTGCACATCGTACTTGGGAAGTCTGACCTAGACTTTAACATTGTGCTTTTGGGGGATGCAGCACTTGCTTCCATTAGCTTTCTTTTTTGTGGGTCTGTTATGTGGCTGCTTCTTATTAAATAAGGACAAATTAAAATCTCTTTTGCAAAGATCTAGAGAATGGAGTTCTAGGCTGTGAATTCTATCTCAGCCCCCTCCAAGCTGGATGTCCTGGGTTACTGGGAGGTAACCTCTTTGAACCCGAGTTTCCTCTTCTATAAAATTGGGATGTTAACAGTACTACTTTGGCAAACTATTAGCTGCCAAAGTCTACTCTCCCCAAATCCATTCTCTCCCCACACCTTTTATAATAATTGAGTTTTAGTAGGTTCACTTCCACCCACCTACAAAAGCTGTTTCCTAGCCTCCATTATGGCAAATGGTGGCCATGTGACCATGTTTTCACCAATGAAATAGAAGTAGAAATGATACGAGTAACTTCCAAGACACCAGCTTGCACTGGGTTTCTTTTCTTTCTTCTTTTTGAGGAATGGAATATAGAAATGATAGTAACTTAAGTTCAACCTTACAATTAAGGGCATCCATGGAGGGGTGTGGGGGGGCACAGCAATAAAATGGAAGGAACCTGGGTCCCTGAATGACCTTTATGGAGCAGAATCTAGTCTGATCCTGCTACAGGAAAGAAAAATAAATGACTATGTTATTTCAGTCTTTGAATTTAGATACATCTGTGTGGCAAATTAGCTTCTATCCTTTTTGGAAGTACTGGGGTTTGAATTCAGGGCCTTGTGCTTGCTAGTTAGGCACTCTACTACTGGAGCCATCCTCCAACTTAATTTCTATCCTAATATACCTATGTCCCGGAATTTTGTGATGATCACAAGACAGTACATGCAGAAAAGCCTGGCACATTTTAAATTCTCAGTAAATGTCAGGTATTGATAAGTATTTTTAGTGCAATTGATTTTTCAATGTAATTACTTTTGCTTGTGACCCCTGGATTAAATCTTGATTCTTTTATACAGTATTAGTTTCTCCCTCTTTGAATCTAGTTTTGAATAATTTTTATAATGCAGAAAGCAGATCTGTGTTTTCATTGCAATCTTTCATTAAAAGGTTGGGAGAAAAATGGTGGCCAGTCCCATACCAGTCACCTGTCTTTTTGCACACCTTAGAACCCTTCAGTGTGATTTATCATTGATAAACTTCTTTGATTATATTTATTGAACATCTATAAATGTACCTGACCTTCCCTTTCCTTTATGGTATATGTCATATACACCACCATGCAGATTAAGGCACGTAATGCTGAACCGGAAGTTGGAAATTCATTGAAATTCATAACAAAGTTGGCAACATGGTGTCTGAGAGAAGCTTCTTCTGTGTTAGAAGACCTAAGTTTTACTTTCTTCTCTCTCAAAATAATAATCTGATTATCCCCCAGCTCTAAATGGTCATTTTGCTTCAAAATTACAATATGATCATTCACCTTGTCCTCAAAATATCAAGAAGGCAATTAAAACCATAAGAACTCACTGAATACCTAATGTGTGATCGTCATCATGCCAATATTTCATATAGGCCATTAAATTATCGGTCAACCATGGTCCTCATTTTACAGATGAGACAACTGAGGCACAGACAGTCTTAAAATCTTGCCAAAAATCACAAACCAGGACTAGAATTTGAACCCTGATCTCTCTGGTTTCAAAAACACATTATGACATCTGCCAGTGCAATGCATTGTCATCACTTCCAGCAGATGTGACACTAAGATGTTGCAGAAACATTCTCGGCTCTGGGTTTCTCACTGAACCCTCCTCCCCCAACCCCTCAAACGGCCCCCCATGGTGCTGAGCAGACAAGCCACAGACCCGATGAGTTGTGCGCCTGCGTTCTCCTCTTCAAGAACCCTCCGTGTGAGGCCACAGTTCTCCAGAGACAGTTTCTCCAGCAGCTTGAAGTCCACGTCACTGCCAATGCCGACGGTGAAGATGCAGATCTGACCTTGGGTGGCCTCCTTGGTGTTGCTGAGAATCCTGGGAGTGTTAGTGTCCCCAAAGGTGGGTTTCCCATCTGTGAGGAAGACGATGAGGGACACACTCCGGTCTTCAATGTCATTGTGGGCCACATAGTCGTTGAGCAGCCTGATGGCTGTCTGAAGGGCCCCGTTGATGTCTGTGCCTATGGGACACCAACAAAGGACAGTTGATGCTTTGTGCCCACCTGTCTACCCCAAGTGCTAACTCATAGTTGCAGTTTATTCTCAATCATTCAGGTACTAACTGAATTGAGATCTGTGAGAGAAGTCACCTGCATACATGGGGTGACCCAAGTTATATAGCCTGTTTAGAAACCTGACAAGTGCTTTCCAAATGAATATAAATGACACAGAATGATCATTTCTCCTGAAGGTGTCCAGTGGCACCTAAACTTAGAATCCATCACTATTTTAACATCAATGGCTTCCACACCCCTTTCTGAAAATAGCTTTGAAAAAAAACCAGGAGGCTGCTGGGTGAAGGAATTTGAAGAGGAGAAGAATGACTGAGGCATTGAAGGGTGAGAGGTGAAGAATGAGGAGATGGAAGCAGATAGAGACAACCTCAAATGTCAATGTCATGTTGCCTAGGCTGGACCGTGCCAATTAAAGAACTAGCTCATCATCTCCATTATCCCTGCTTTCCCTTCAAGATTACCTCTGCTGTCAGACCCAAAAAGGGAGGAGGTGTTAAGATGGACATCTCCACACCCTGCTACTTCTCCTCTGAAAGTGCTGGTCATTAATAGCTCTGATTAAAGTGGTGGGGGAGTTCCCGGAGTAGGTAGCAAACCAACAAGTATTTGTTTGGTCGATGGAGAAATGTCATTGGTTGGTAGAGATTGAAACGACCAGGGAAAATGAGATTTCTGAATTAGCTAAGACTTTCATTCAACTGGACGACCACTATCTCACCATCACAAAGAAAACTCAGAGTTGTTATTGCAATGGCTTGAGATAAAATTTACATACCAAAACATTTCCCAGTCTAAGCATCCAGTTCATTAGTTTAATAAATGTTTGGTTCTGTAACCATCCCTGCAGACCCCTGTCTGACTTTAGCTCCCTAAAAATGCTCTTCCATTTATCAGAATTTCTTATTAAAAACCAAAACTAAAAAATAACAATAAAAAAGGAGACAGGTGTGGCGGTGCATGTCTGTAATCCCAGTGCTCAAGAGATGGAGGAGGGAGGATCAAGAACTGGAGCCCTACCTGAGCTACATAGCAGTACCTTGTCTCAAAACAAAAATAATAATTTAATCAAGAAAACAGATATCCTATGCCTGTGACAGCCACATTCATAAGTCTTGCTAAGATGCACACAGAGTTCAAACAGAAGGACAAGTGACAGCAGAAAAACAGTATTTATCATTTCTCTGGGGTCATTATTTTGCCTTTCTTCTAGCCTGTCTAGCTCCATGTTGCCTCTGTGGGAGTGGGCATGGAGCAGCTGGCAGGTGTTTAAATTCTCATTAATTCACTTAGCAGTGGTGTCAAATCTCTCACTTCACTTTAAAGCCAAAGAGATCCAGGGCAGAGGCATGGATGTAGCTTTCATGATTGCATACTGGCCCCTGAGGCACAACAGGGCTTGGAGGCAAGCCTATGTCCAGACAGGGCATCTCCTATCCACATTATAGCAGAGGGGCACTCTCCCTGCTCTCCTCTATGGAGTTCCTACCAACTGCCACGCCACTGAGAGCTCACAGTGGCGACCACCAAGTGGGTGAAAATAACAACGAAGGCCACATCTGATGCTTAAGGAAGACTTGCTATATACCAGGACCATTCCCACATTTGCAATGTTTTAACTTACTTCATTAACTGATTTTTAATTCTATTATCACCCACATTTTACAGATGAGAAAACTGAGGCATAGAGAGGTTGAATGGCTAATGGATGGTGGAACTGTATTCAAATCCAAGCAGTCTGGCTTTAGAATCCACACTCGCAATCCTGAAGTTACACATCTGAGAAGTTACACAATTAACCTGCTGTCCGCCGGTAGAGGTCAGGGCCAGGAAGGGTTGAGAAAAAATAAAGAAAACCAATAGGGTTGCTGAGGTCTGGCTTCCAAAAGAACATAATACATATTTTTCTTCTCTCTCTCCCTCTTCCTCTCCCTTTCTTACAGTACAGGGGATTAAATTTAGGACCACATGCTTGCTAAGCAAGGACTCTACTACTTGAGCCATGCCCTCAGTCCTTTTTGTTGGTTTGGCTTTAGTTTGTTTTTAGTTGCTCAGGCTGGCCTTGGACCTCAATCCTCCTTTGTCTGCCTCCAGAGTACTTGGGATTATAGGTATATACCACCATGCCTGGCCTACCAGCTGTATTTCAAAGCTGTTTATCACCTCCTTCCAACACACACACACACACACACACACACACACACACACACACACACACCATTCTGATCGTAAGCAGTACCACTAAAATAAATTCAGTTTAACAAATACTCAGTATGCATTCCATGTGAGGAGCCATGCTAAAATTAGGGGCTACAAAGAGGATGAGAGGGCTCTTTCTCCAAGGTCTGCACAGTCTTGTCAACTTCCTGCTGTAGACAGAGCCTATAATATTAAGCTTAAGTTTTCATTTCTCTCAGTGAACATAAACAATTCCTAGACCATGCTGTTTCAGAGACTGGAATGAACACCAATGTAAGTCAAAGTACTGGCTAAGCAAAATCAAATTCCAAATGAAGTTCATTCAAGAAGTCAGAGCTTTGACAGAGGTGGGAAATAATGAATGTACGAAAAGTGGAAAAATCTTAGCTGGGAGAAGACTGGACTGAGGGTTTTATATGTTTCCAGACAGGCAAGGCAGAATTAACTGAGATGACAACTCCAGATGATGGTGTCTCTGTAAAGGGCCTTTAAGAAGGGGGCGGGGTCACATTCAGTCCCCTAACCTCTGCAGTACTGTGCATCTGTTATGTGTTCACTTAGTGATGCAAGCCAGACCCAGGTCTGGTTTGGAGGAACCAGCAGGCAGCATGGTTGGGTAACAAGCAGCTCTAATTCTCTAGTCTTCCTCCCAATCTTTTTGCTCCTCCCTGAACCTTCTGTGCACTCAGAACCCAGCACCCTTCCAAATCATTCAATCCCCACAGTGTTTCCCACCTATGACTCTGCTTTGCTCACTGTGCCGCAGTCCTGGCAGGGCCACTGCTGGTTTTACAGGGCAGTTCTGTTTGCCGCTGCTTGAGTGGGGTCATCACCTGACTTCCATCCTCTACCCAAGGACAATTTACAAAACAGCTGCGTTGTTCAGGATCCCTGAGATAAGCAGGAAAGCCTCCAACACCCTTCATACGCATCTGGGTTAGTTTGCAGGCTGGAGGGTGAGAACTTACAAACTTGGCATTCGGAGAGACGTAAGCTTCGGGGAATATGCTCCTGTTACCCCCTTTTCCTCTCACTCCTTCAGCTCTCAACCCCCCATCTCTTGCCATTAAATGAGCTTATGGTGTCAAAGGTGACGTGAAAGGAAGGAACCATCCTTACCTCCAGTGGGTGACAAATGGAAAATGTAGAGCTTGCCGTCCCTGACATTCTCAGGAGTGACTGGTATCAAGTGATTCTTCCACACCTTAATCCGGTTGGAAAACCCAATGATATTGAACCGATCCTGGGGTCGGAGGTCATGGAGGATTGTGACAAGGGCCTCCCTGGTCTAGGCAAAGACAAAACTTAAGCCAGTTATATCTTGTTACATTAGTCCACTGGTTTCCTAGTTTGGAAACCTCTCACCAGGAACAGACCCAGGGATCAGATTCAGTTCCTGCTGAGTAAAGGGCACTTGATTAAACGTCCAGGGGCTTGTCACCTACCTGGAAAATGGCACAAATATATTACAATCATATGTGAGGCATGAAGAAATGCCTTCATATGTCACATGCTGTTACAAGTCACAGTGTACTAGGCCTCCATATCTTCTTAGTTGCCATTCTGTTTTTTAAAATTTTTTATTAGGATATATTCATCATATAGGAGGGGATTCATACTGATATTTCCAAATAGGCTTATATATTAGTTATACTGCCCTTTTGATATAGGTACTCATAGTAAATACCATGCAAATAGAAAAGATTATGAAATCACTGTGGACTGGAGTAACATGAGGACATTCTATAAACTGGGCACCAGCAGCTCATGCTTGTAATCCTAGCTGTCAGGAGGCAGAGATCAAGAGGATCATGGTTTGAGACCAACACGGGCAAAAAGCAAGACCCTATCTCAAAAATACGCAACACAAAAAAGAACTGCTGGAGTGGCTCAAGTGTTAGAGCACCTGCCTAGCAAGTGTGAGGCCCTGAATTCAAACCCCAATCCCACAAAAAGAAAAAAAAAGAATATTCTATAAAGAAAGAGGAGGGCCAGGCGTGTTGGTATACATTTGTAATCCCAGAATTTGGGGGCTTAGGCTGGAGGATTGTGAGTTTGAGGCCATTCTGGCCTATATAGTGAGACCCTGTCAGAAGGAAGGAAGGAGGGAAGGAAGGAAGGAAGGAGGGAAGGAAGAAAGGAAGGAATTTTAGTATAAGGCTTAAAGGAAGTAGGAGTTTGAAAGACTAGGAGAGGTATTAGGAAAAGAATCAAAGAAGTAAGACAGCGTGAGCAACCTGAGGCGGTGATGCAGGGGAAGAAGGCATGCTAATTGGATAAAAGGTGAGCATTGAAGTCTGACATGACATGGGGAAAAAGAAAGCAGCCACAGGAAGCTGGAAACTGAACAACTCTAAGAGCCAGGACAAGAGTTTCTATAAAAACCCATGAGATATCCTGAGAAAACACTGCTATCCCTAAACAATGTGAGTGTTGAACATTTAAAGAGATTCAGTGGTGAAGTTAGGGCCTTACAGAATTGCCATGACAACAATCAGTCCCATCATTGACTCTCTGAGCAGCCCTATGCTGGAAACTCCATCACTTACTGTGTTTCTTACCTACCTAAACTGCCCCATCCACAGAATTAAGACAAAAAGTAGTGCCTGTCTCATCACTTGTCATGGAGGCTAAATCAGGTACCAGATGAAAAGGATTCAGAATGGCGCCAGGCATATAGTGAATTTCACTTTTACCCAGGAATAAGAACAATGGACACATTTCATTAAATCCATCTTCTCATCCTATCAACTGCTGTCTCCCACCCCCAGGTCTTCCAGGAGAAAAGAAGGCATGGAAGTGCTTATTTTCACTCACAGACTAGGAAACTTCCTCTATTCTCTCTCTCCTGTCCTGACATAAGGCCTTTCCTCAAAGAGGGCCTCACTCACAGCAGTTTCCTGTCCCCTCCTAATCCTGACTTACCCCCAGGAAATGTGTTGAAGTATCCTGTGACAATAAATAAAATCCACACCAAAATGGGACCAATGTCTCTGGAAGACATTAAATTATTTGTGACATGCTTGATCAAGATGGCAGCCTCCTCCTTCTTGAAGCTCTTCTTGCTCTGGCTTTCTCAGTACATCCTGGGTCTCTTTCTTCTGCCTAGGGAGCTCTGCTGGTACCTCCAAGTCACTGCCTTTCAATGAGGGAGTCATGGGGCAATTTTCTCAGCCCAGTTGCCGGCTTTGTACTCACACCACACACTTCTGGGTGAGTTTATCCATCTCCACGCAGTCAACTATCAATTCCATCTTTCCGACTTCCAGCTCATCTCTGAAGTCTGATTCTCTCTTTAGGTCCAGACCAACCTGCCAACTGCTTCTCCCAACACATCCCACAGGCAACTCAGACTCAACTTGTTGAAAACAGGAGCTTTTACCTTCTTTCTCCATTGGATCTCTCCTCTGCAGCTCTCTCTCCTGGGGAACAGCACCTTAGGTCATCATGAGGCCTGACCCAGAAAACTGGACATCACGTCCAGTCTTCTCCTTGCCTCATCCCCAACCCCATGTCCTTCAACACCCAATCCTGGAAGTCCGCCCTCTTTTTAACATCCCTGGGACCATAATAGGAATTTTTTCTCATTTTGCTGTTGTTCTTAATTTCAAAATGATCAAAAGGAAAACTCTGTAAAACTCACGTAACCCCACTCACCTAGAGACAAACCCTATTAAAACGCTGGTATAACATGTGCCTTCAGAAACTTTCCTGTGTTGTGTGTGTGCGTTTGACTTTTGAGAACACACAATCATACAGTATGTATAGCATGCTCTAGGATTTTTGCTTAATGTTTAATGTACTCTTTTCATGTCAATAGATGAATGAATGCCACAAAATTCTAACAGTGACACAGGACTCTACTGTATGCATAGACCATACATTAATATTTCTGGATATTTAAGCAGCATTGCTATGAAGCCCATAATTCACGCATCATTGTGTCCTTTACTTTCTCAAACTGAAAGTGACAAAGGACTTGCACTTTTGGAAGGACTTAGTGTGTCTTAACCTCACTGCCATAGCTAGATTTTCAACCCACTTTGGTTAAAAACTTTGATGGCTCCTCACTACCCTCAGCAAAAAGTTTAAACTTTTTTGGATATAAGACCCTTCATAAAATAAATAGTCCCAATGTAGCTTTTTAACTTTATTTTTTCCTTTTCCCACCTCTACTATAAACGCTAAGTTCTAATTTCCTCCCTACCCCCCAACTTTCCTAAACACACCAGGCTTTTTCACAACTTCCTGCTCTGCACAAACTCCTCCCTCCCCTTCCCTCTCTTGTCTGTCCACTAAGCAACAGTTTCTCCTTCAGGACCTACCTGACATGTCCCCTCCTTGGTAAACCCATTCCAAACTCAACCATAAAGACAGTACTGGCTCCCTCTCTATCATTTGGTCCTCAACCACTAGACACACACATCCACTGTAGCACTTCCACAGCGTGTACATATGAATTCTTTACACTCTTTCCCATCTCAGAGTCCAGCACACACAATCTACATGGTTGCTGGTGCCTCCCAGCACCATGAATTTAGAATTTAGTTCTGAGTACTCACATTATCTCCCAAAAGAGGACTCCTCACCTTGCCTCTCCACCCCACTCTGCTGCTCTCTAAATCACAGCTCCCTGTTCTTTCATTCACACTAACGAGGCTGTGGTTCTCTTTCTGTGCGTTGACTTATCTGTCTGTCTCAATTCTATACTGTTGAGGGCAGGAACTTTCTACATGTTTTCATTTTGTATTTAATAGCCAACAGTGTCTGGCTTGGTAAGTGATGTTTAATAAGTATTTCCTGAATAAATACTGATGAATAAATTGCCTGTCACAATAGATGCCCCTGGTCCTCCCCTATCATCCAACACAATATTTTGTATATTGTAGGCATATTCTAGACATATGGTATATCTGTTGCATTAGTATTTTATTAAAATAGTATTACTAATGTCTATTTATTGGTAAACAAATGAGAGAGAGAGAAATAAAGAGAGAGGAGAAAAGAAATACAGGGGGAAAGAGATGGACAGACAGAGACACAAGTGACTCAGAAACAAGAGGGGGAGAGAGAAGCAGAGACAACAGACCAAGAGAGAGACAGACAGGGGAGGTTCGATTCTGTTAGCAAATGCAAAATACCATGAGAGAGCAGCACCCTTGTCCTTGGGAACTGAGGACAGCTAAGACTGAGGGATGAATACAGGAAGTACTGAGTGGCTTGGGGGTCAAGCTGCAGTGAGAATCGGTAGCTTAGATCCTTGCACTCAGCAGACAGAGGTAGGGAGCCCTGTTACCCACACAGGTTGCCTTGCCAGGGAGCTGGACTATTGGGCTCCCCACCCTTCCTTCCTTTTAGAGCCAGCACACTCAGCATGTGCATCAGATGGGTTTGTACCATCCCATCTAAGTGTCTAGACCCTTGGGAGGACTACAGATCCTCAGCTGAGGACAATAGCAAGCAGTGGCCGTCCATGAGGCAATGCAGCTGTGAGTCTAGCTCCATGGATCTTCTGGGCCCAGAGCTGGCCAGGCTGCTCAGGGCAGGCTGAGGAGCAGGGCTCTTGTCAGAGACTGCTGTTTGTTTAGCTGCTGGCATCCCAAGAGACCCTTAAACAGTGTGTTAAAGACCTCTAGAGGGATAGGCCTGGCTCTTTTGCTGGTATTTTTCCCATCGTGATGGATATTCTCTTGTAGGAACAGTTATTCTGTCTCTCCACCCTCCTTCCCCAGTGACTACAGATTCCTCATGACCTTGTAAGGCCTCAGCTGCAAGTTATCCTCACGTGCACCGAGGGGAAGTCAGCCAGCAGCTCCCAGTTGATCTATTTCTAGCTGTATTTGTGCTGCCTGGAGGGTCTCCCACCCCACCACAGAAGGTCCTGGGTAGGAGCCATGGCTGCTGCCTGCACCCTCCACCTTCCATTAACCCTTGACTGCCTTTCTTCTCCTCTTCAAGCTGGCCACTCTTTGAACTCTGCCTTCGACACAAGGCTGGAGGGGGAAGGGGAAGGTGAGTGGCCACATAGCAGAGTTAATGCAAGTGGGCTTACACTGATCTTTTGCACACAGTGTTTATATGCTAAAGATTAACAAAAGCCTAGCAGGCTCTGTCCAAGCGTACAGTCCAGAGAATGGGGTTAGCACATTCCAGAGAGATCAGAGAAACCCAGAGCAGCAGAGAATGTGTAATCTAAGCTTGTCCAAAAGGGCTGGACTAGATCCCCTTCAGGGTACCTGTCAAAGCTGAGATGGCATGATTCTAACTTGTAGAAGACTTGTAGATTCT